ATCATTAACGTCCATTAAAAAAACCCATTAAAGCTTCCATTCCCCCCCCCCCCGCTACACCTTAAACTGGCATTCAGTTTAGTTTACGGTGAATTTTTTGTTAGGTTTTATTCACAATGAAGGTTTGTTAGGTTGGGCTTATGTTGATGTTGTTTGTTAGATGTGGTTTAACGATAATTTTGCTTCTTATGTTTCGTTCATTTTGATGCGGTTTGTTTGTTTTCTTTGGTTTGTTTGTTTTGTTTGTTTACTTGGTTTGGTTTACGATAAACACCGGTGCCGTTTTCGAAAGCATAAGATTGTTTTGTTGGTGTTTTTTTTATATTTATTTACCTTTGATGTATGTTCTTTGACGCACATATTCTTCCACCGCTTAAGGTACAGCAACTAAACTTTTACAACTTTTTGACATTTTGACAAGAAAAGAATATATACGATAATATAAGAAGATCAGATAAGATAAGAAGACAAGATAAGAAGACAAGATAAGAAGATAAGATGAAAAGTAAGAAGATAAGATACGATGATAAGATAAGAAGATGTGATCAGGAAATTAAATAAGAAAAGATAAAAAGATAAAAAAAGTAAGCAGATACGATAAAAAGAAAAGATAGCAAGATAAGATAACAAGATAAGATAAGTTATGATTATATTTTTGATCTAAATAAATGTAAATAATGTTTGTTTTTGTTTGTTTGTTTTTGTTGTTTTTTGTTGTTGTTTTTTTTGTTGTTGTTTTTTTTTGGTTAAATTACATAGAACATGTTCATCTCCAGCTCATACATAAATATTATCACAAAGTCAAACATTATTTTTTTTTTTTTAAACTAGAACAGTTTTAACGGAATACATCCAAAGTATTACTCAATCGCAAAACTCAGCGGTAACATGTTATGGAACATGATTCCCTTTGTGACACTATTGACTTTAAGAGTCTTTACTAAGAGTTTGTAACAGCGGGGAGAGCACGCTGGTACATTCTAAAGGAATTGGGGCGGGGGGGGGGGGGGGGGGGGGGGACGGACAAATTAATTGTATATCTTTCCGTCTTAATTTTGAGACAAGGATTTGAACATGATTCCCTTTGTGACACTATTGACTTTAAGAGTCTTTACTAAGAGTTTGTAACAGCGGGGAGAGCACGCTGGTACATTCTAAAGGAATTGGGGCGGGGGGGGGGTGGAGGGGGGGACGGACAAATTAATTGTATATCTTTCCGTCTTAATTTTGAGACAAGGATTCGGCCCTGATCGATCTCATCTTTGGTCTCTCTGATGAAGAGTTTGGAAATTGATTTTTTTTTTGTATTATCTCTGTTGAAGAGGATGGGGGTGTGATCTTAGGTGTCTGTGATGCTGAAGTTGGGATGTGATCTTAGGTGTCTGTGATGCTGAGGTTGGGATGTGATCTTAGGTCTCTCTGTTGAAGAGGATGGGGGTGTGATCTTAGGTGTCTGTGATGCTGAGGTTGGGATGTGATCTTAGGTCTCTCTGTTGAAGAGGATGGGGGTGTGATCTTAGGTGTCTGTGATGCTGAAGTTGGGATGTGATCTTAGGTCTCTCTGGTGAAGCGGATGGGGTGTGATCTTAGGTCTCTCTAATGAAGAGGTCGGGGTGTATCTTCCAAATATATTTTGGCTTTTCAAATGCATATTGCCTCTAATAGTTCTTTCGAAGGCAGACTTTATTTTTTAAGTGATGTTACTTGCTTTGTTGATGAGTCTTTTTAATCAGTGTTTGAAGAGATGCTTTTAGACGTTATTGAATGGCTTGTGTATAAAAATGATTCTAGGTGTGTTGTTGTTTTTGTTGGTTTTTTTTGTTGTTGTTTGTTTTGTTTTTTTAAATCGTATTGCCATATTTGATAAAGAACGTCGGAAACGATGCGACTCTGTCATTGTGACGTGAGCTAAACACGTGACACATGGTTTTCACCCAGATAAAGTTCTTTGTGATGTTTCAACAGAGAGAAAAAAAAAAGGAGAAGAAAATATAAAACTCAACACGTAGGTACATACACGTTTTAAGTTTACATGCCGAGTTAGACGAGGGAAATAATCCACAGGTACCGCTGATTTTTTTTCAAAGAAATTGTCCTATGTTGCTGAAATTGATGCTTGGAACTTGATCAAGAACATGACGTCTGGCAATGAGAACTCTCAACACGCACAGACAAAGAAATAAAATGTTTTCAGAGTGTATGGGCCGCAGGAGTAAAGGGAAATAATCCACATGCAAGGGGGGGGGGGGAATAACCTTGACGTCTTAGCTTGACGATTCCAACGGCCATTTGCAACCGTGCACCAATGGAATAAGTGTCAAGTGTTATGATGTATTTGTAAAGCATTTTATTCCTCGAAATGCACGATTACATTTTTAAAGCATATATGTCAAGAAATAAAAGTTGTTGGTTTTTGTTGTTGTTTTGTTTTGTTTTGTTTTGTTTTTGTTCTTTAGGCTTCAGATGTTATCCTTTTTTTCTTTTTCTTTAAGCTTTAGATGCTATCCCCAACATTGATCACGTTGAAATATTATCATTCAGTTGTGTTGAATTAAATTCTACGCCGTACATCAAGTTCCAGGGATGTTCTAGGTTTAAAAAAATGTATGAAAGGAAGACCCCGGGGGGGGGTGGGTGGAGTTAGAAAGACAGGGTGGGCGAGGTATCAATGTGTTATATGTGAACAAACAAGTAGGTTTACGATGAACAAATATCCATATCATCTCAATGGGATTTCAAATAGTTTATTAAGGCCATGGTGGGGGCNTGGGGGTTTTGTGTGGGGGGGGGGGGGGGGGGGGAGGGTCTGTTGTGGCAGTATTGGGAGAGAAATCGTTTTAATGAGCTATATTGAAAGGGGTGAGTTGGCTGTAAAAGTGTGTGGGGGGGGCTGTAATTGGCTGTGGTGGAATGTAATATGTTGTAATTGGCTGTAGATGGTTGAGATACGCTGTAATGGGTGGTGGCTGTAGCTGTAGTGGGCTATATTTGACTGTAGAGTGCTGTAATGAGGGCTGTGGGGTACTGCTATGGACTGTGGTGTACCTAATTGGGCTGTGATGTACTATAATGGGCTGTAGTTTACTGTAATGGGCTGTGGCGTACAGTAATGGGCTGTGGTGTACCTTAATGGGCTGTAGTGTACTGTAATGGGCTGTGGCGTACAGTAATGGGCTGTGGTGTACCTTAATGGGCTGTAGTGTACTGTAATGGACTGTGGTGTACCTTAATTGGATGTAGTGTAATGTAATGCGGGCTGTGGTGTACTGTAATGGGGTGTGATGTACCTTAATGGGCTGTGGTGTACCTTAATGGGCTGTAGTGTACTGTAATGGACTGTGGTGTACCTTAATGGGATGTAGTGTAATGTAATGCGGGCTGTGGTGTACTGTAATGGGGTGTGATGTACCTTAATGGGCTGTGGTGTACCTTAATGGGCTGTGGTCTACTGCAAAGGGCTGTGGTGTACCTTAATGGGCTGAAGTTTACTGCAATGGGCTGTGGTGTGCATAATGGGATGTAGTGTAATGTAATGCGGGCTGTGGTGTACTGTAATGGGCTGCGGTGTACCTTAATGGGCTGTAGTGTACCTTAATGAGCTGTAGTGGGTGATAATGGGCTGTAGTGTGATGTAATGAGCTGTAGTGTGATGTAATGGGCTGCAGTGTGATGTAATGAGCTGTAGTGTGGGCTTTCAGACACTTGACCCGGTAATGAGCCAGTACCGAAGCCTTACTTGTCATTTTACCCAGTCACAAAATGCGCGGGTCACAGGACAGTCCTCAACGGTCGCCTGAGGGGGTTGGAACTATGGGCGAGAGATTGATGGGTGCCAGGCGTGAAAGGCGCCCCCAATATCCGCCTAGTTAGGTGCGAGGGCTGTTCACCGATTAGGACGATGATGACTTATTAACGGCGCTGTCGCGAGGGCCCCCCCCCCCCCCCCCCCCCCCCCGAAATTCCGAGGACCGAGCGCGCTACATTATTTCCTGAACGTTTTTTTGGTGAGCGTCACAGCGGTAGGTCTAAACAATGTGAGAGTGAGTAATCGAATCTAGAGGGAAGCCCGCGCCCTCTAGGTCCGAATGTGTGATAGATTATCAGACAAGTTGAAATGCGACATTAGTGTACACGTAATCGTATTATGCTGGTAGTCGACAAGTTCGGAAACTGTGCTATAACGATAGTTTGGTTATTAGAGGTACGCCAAAGGTTATGGGCAATTTTAATTATAAGTTTATTGTGTTAATGATCTTTACCAGCATTGAATCATGAGTTGGAACATTTAATCGTTAAAGAAAATTGAATCATCTGTGTTGAACACTGAATCGTGTTTGTGTTAGAACGTTAAATCGTGTTTTAGAACATTGAATCATGTGTTAGAACATTGAAAAGTGTGATAGAACATTGAATCGTGAGTTAGAACATTGAATAATGTGATAGAACATTGACTAGTGAGAGATAACATTGAATAGTGTGATAGAACATTGAATCATGTCATAGGACATTGAATCATGTCATAGAACATTGAATCATGTCATAGAACATTGAAAAAAAAGGAAGGAAGTTGTAGTAGTTTGACATTCCAAATAAACTTTTTAAGTTGATGCACTTGTTTGGACATTCACGCTGTCTCATCTTAGTCTAACATGATTGCCTAACACAAATTCTTACTTTATTTTTTTCGATAGATATCTGGGAGAAGTAAAGCTTGTTGACGAGAGCTATTCCCCTTTAAGAAGTATCCAAGATGTGATTCGCATTTATAATATTATTAATTTTGTAATGTGTCGATAATTTCGTGGGTTAAAAATTGGGAAACCTGCTGTCCACTGAATTTTAAATCAATTTAAATTTCCGGAAATTGTTCAATATTCTATTGAGCTGGGAGCATTTCGTGTACATTTCATGTACATTTCGTGTACATTTCATGTACATTTCATGACCACCTCATTACCTTTATGAATGTTTTTTTTTTCTTGTTTTTTTTTTATGTCACAGAACCAAAGAATTCACTCAGCTGATCGTCAGATCCAAGGGATGAACCAAGCATGACAAATTAGCACACATCACTAACACAGTGTGAATTCGCCAGCCTAAGTTTCGCACATCTCATGCCCAACCAAATTCAACATCGAATGGCGACCCAACAACGGACAGTTGCTCGTTAGTTGTACTACCCGTGACAACAGTTTCCTCTAAATATCGTCTTAGACCATCTAGTCGTAGTAATTAACGTAAAGAAAATTTTTTAAGTCGAATAAAAGTCAATTTAGGTCATCCCAAGAAAACTGTTATGGTATATATAATAAAAGAGTTGTGTTTTTTTTTCAGTACAAGTGTTCTTTGCATTTTAATAGTTGTAAGACCTACATTTTATACAGATAATCGATCATCGTCGTAACGATCGATATTTTGGTGAGGGTTGCGAGTGAGGGTCTGAAAAACCAAGGGCGACAGACCACATTTTAGCACCACTACTTACTTGTATTCAGAGAACGGAGACCACCTTGAAATTTCGGGACATCACAGAGGGCGTTAAATGGTGATCGAGCTCGGTTACAATGATCGGGCCATCATGGATCAGACGACTGGTGTATCGGAAACTGGTCAGCTTCCTCTTTCTGCTGTACCTTAGCCTCATCTTACTCTTCATCATCAACATCGACCAGAAGGAGATAACCTCCAGATCCCAGGAGTCGATGTCCGTGATCTTTTTCTCGCCCACCGATCAAACGGCTGCCGGTCTCGGTACGATGACGAACAACAGGACAGACCGCCTCCGCGGACAATTTTTACGTCAATTCGGGCTCAACAAAAGCAGCCACAGAATTCCCAACGCGGTTTCGAATTCTCTTGAACTGTCGAAAGGGGGGACGTTAAAATTTCTCGAACCGACGCCCCTGGAAGAACCGGAAGTGTATGAAAATTCTGGGGGAAGGGGCACCGGAGATTTCTTCGGACTGGGCAAAGAGACGCATCTCTACTCGGCATTCGTTGATGACAGGAAGGAGAAAGCGTATATCAGAATAATGACGCTCAATTCCCAGGGCGCCGCCAGGACATCCGGTATTTATTGCCACTTTAACGACCCACTTTTCTCGAGCCCGCGAAAAGCTGAGAAGTATCAGCTGTGCGAGAACCACGGCAAGAAGTTCGGCGGCTATATTTACTCGTGTCACGTTCCAGACACCGTAGAGCCCGGAAGCATTCAATCGATTGATCTGACTTTAACAAAATACGGGCCGAAAATCGCGCTCCCTGTTTTCAGTACACGACCCCACGAGGACAGGATCCATTTTTTAAGCTCTTACCCGCGAGTTTTCAAAACTAACCCGTATAATGTCAACAATCCGTTTCAAGTGCCTTACACCCCTGCAGGCCCGCAACAAATCAGTAGCACGGCCAGCACGCCATTCCACGTCCCACTTTCTTTCGCCATCTGCGTCTCGCCGCTCTTCGGCAACATCTCGGCATTTAGGCTCGTCGAGTTTATCGAACTGTCGAGGATTTTAGGGGCCGAGCACTTCTATTTTTACAACCACAGTCTCCCGGACGTCGTGTCGGACGTCCTGAGGGTGTACGCCGACACGGGGCTGGTCACCGTCCTGCCGTGGCGTCTCCCGGACGTGGTCGCGCCCAGGGACGTGTGGTACCACGGACAGCTGCTGGCCAACAACGATTGCCTTTACAGGGTCATGTCCAGGCACGACCTGGTGTCTTTCAACGACATAGACGAGTACATCGTGCCGCACGGAAACTCGACGACGTGGAGGCAGGCGTTCTCGGACCTGCTCAAGAACGATATCTGTGGATTCTCGTTTCAGAGTGCTTTCTTCCATCAAGGGCCCGACCATCCGCGAGATGCTCAACTGCTGACGACAGCGGTCACCGCGAGATCTCGGAGATTCAGCCAGGTCTGTTTGTGTGTGTGTGCTTTTTTTTTTTTTTTTTACATTTAATTTTTTTGTTGGGAATTAGACAGCTCAAGGTTGCAACCTTCCATTCAATAAAAGGAAGAATAAAATAACTGCTGACGACAGCGGTCACCGCGAGATCTCGGAGATTCAGCCAGGTCTGTTTGTGTGTGTGTGCTTTTTTTTTTTTTTTTTACATTTAACTTTTTAGTTAGGAATCAGACAGCTCAAGGTAGCAACCTTCCATTCAATAGAAGGAAGAATAAAAAAACAACAACTGCTGTTTTAGTGTGGTTAGTAGCAGTGGCGTAGGAAGAAGGCGTGGAGGGAGAAACTCCATCCTGGGGAGCACTTTTTTTTTTTTACTTATATTAAGGGGGCGGCATTTTCGGCCGACTTTGGGAGTTTTTCTCGTGGAAGGGGGTGGCAAAAAATATTAGCCCACCTTGGGCGGCACCAACTGGTAAAGGGCACACGTCATGCCATTATGAATCCTTCTTTCAATCAAGTCTCTTCTGTCTTTATACGTGTTTTCTTGTTGCTGTGGGTGTTGTTTTCACAACAAACATGTTTATTTTTATGCATCTAATAAGTTTCTGCCGTGCGCGTAAAGTTACTGTTTTTCGATAAAAAAAAATATTACTCTCGGGTCAAAATTTTTTCTTATATCACTTCATTTACAACTGAAAATAATAAACACTCAGATAAAACTATTAAGGATCAGAGAGTAGGGTGGACTAATGTCGATTACATTTATTTTTTTTTAAAACTCAGAAGCACTGAATACTATTATTTTAAAAGAATTATGATAATACTTCTCCCCTTTCGGCTTTATTTCAACACTAAAATTCATTTCTTTTTGTACCTACTCTCCTTTCTTCTTTGTTCTGTTGGCATAACATATCAACAGTATTTGCCCTTACTATCTAGTCCCCAGGTGGCCATTCGGCTTCTCGGTGGCGATGGTGATGGAATTGTCCAGGAGTTAACTGCCCTTTTTGCGAATAGGGCAATCTTGGAGGACATTTTCATTTGTTAATTTTCCCAGTTGTGCCAGAATTGCTTTTTGTGGAAAGGGTGGTGATGTCACTTGGTTGTGTGGTCCGTGTGAAGCTGGAAAATCGTATTTTTCTCCTACATGTTGCTCCCCAAGAACCACGCCCCTTCCTAAAGACTGACAATTACATGCTCCTCCCAGAGAACCACGCCTCTCCCTAAAGACTGACAATTACTTGCTCCTCCCAGAGAACCACGCCCCTTCCTAAAGACTGACAATTACATGTTGCTCCCCGAGAACCACGCCCTTTCCTAAAGACTATCAATCTCATGCCCCTCCCAGGGGACCACGCCCCTTCCAAAAGACTGACAATTAGATGATCCTCCCAGAGAACCACGCCCCTTCCTAAAGACTGACAATTACATGCTCCTCCCAGAGAAAAACGCCCCTTCCTAAAGACTGACAATCACATGTGTTTCTGGGAACCACACCCCTTCCTGAAGACTGAAAGTTGTGTCCACTTTGTCAGTCTTTAGGAAGGGGCGTGGTTCTACAGGAGGAACATGTGATTGACTGTCTTTCCCCCCCCCCCCCCCCCCCCCCCCCCCTTCCTGAAGACTGAAAGTTGTGTCCACTTTGTCAGTCTTTAGGAAGGGGCGTGGTTCTACAGGAGGAACATGTGATTGACTGTCTTTCCCCCCCCCCCGCCCCCAACGGTCTGATAAATACATTTAGACAGTTTTGAAGACCATTTTCCTCAATGAATAAGATACTTAATTCCAATTAAGTAGCCCTGCACCATCGGTCTCACATGCAAAAGAAGATGCCCTTCCATTTTAAAACAAAAATAATAACCATTCTTCCATTGACCAAGCGACTAAAGATGTCTGTGCTCTCCCAAGTCCAGTGCTCTCCCAAGTCCAGTGCTCTCCCAAGTCCAGTGCTCTCCCAAGTCCAGTGCTCTCCCAAGTCCAGTGCTCTCCCAAGTCCAGTGCTCTCCCAAGTCCAAGTCCAGTACTCTTCTGATAAACTAATAAAGTATCTCCCTTATCAATAGCGGTAAAGTATGATTGTGCCCCCTTAGTCCTACCCTAACACCCCCACCAGAGGCGTAGCGAGGGGGGGTAGGGGGGACAGATGTCCCGGGCGCAAGCTAGTTAGGGGCGCCAAAAGGTGCTTTGATATTATATTATTGGTAAAAATACTGGGTTTGAGAGTTGAAAAAAAGAAAAGGGGGCGCTTTAAAATGGATCTTGTCCCCGGGCGCGAATCTTGTTCCCCGGGCGCCAAACACCCTCGCTACGCCTCTGACCCCCACACACACCCACACCAAAGTACTGATGGTTTCGTCCCTCCGTTTCATCACACAGGTGAGGACAAAGGTGATGCTCTGTCCCTGGCGCGTGTTTGAGGTCGGCATTCACCACATCAGCAAACAGAACCGGGAAGAGTGGCAGACGGTCAAGATCGACCCTTCCGACGTCTACCTCCACCATTACAGGAAGTGCTCCTCGGACTACGGCATGGTGTGTGACCGGTGGGACCGAGACACCACCATCACTGACCGCTACTCGACCCAGCTGACAGCAAGTTTTGACGCGTCCGTACAAGACTTATACAAAAAAGGAATACTGACAAACGTGACCAAAAATTTTCACTTGATGGATGGCGTTTAGACGGTGATCAAACTAGAATATTACCTCTGTAAATTATAAATCACAAATTTAAATAAATACATTATTTATTTCTCTAATCCATTTGTTACTGAATTTTTTATTTTTTTTTATGTTTGAACTCACTCAGTTTCAGATATTGTAACAACATTAAAATCACAAATGTTTAAAGCCTTGTTTGGCCTTGATATAAATAACAGACAACCATAAGTGTCGGCTTTCACTTGATAAAGTCTCCTAAGCATCACTCAATAAATGAGCTGTCCACTTAAAAAATGAGCCGTCCATTCAATAAATGAGATGCCCATTGAATAAATGAGCCATCCATTGAATAAATGAGCCGTCCATTCAATAAATGAGCCGTCAATTCAATGAATGAGCTGTCCATTTAATGATTGAGCTGTCCATTTAATGAATGAGCCGTCATTCCAATAAATGAGCCTACATTCAATAAATGAGATACCCATCGAATAAATGAGCCATCCATTCAATAAATGAGCCGTCCATTCAATAAATGAGCCGTCAATTCAATGAGTGGGCTGTCCATTCACTGAATGAGCTGTCCATGCAAAAGATGACCAAAGTGTCCTACCGTGATTGGTTTCTTTTGTAAGTTTATATTGAGCCACAATAAAGCCCCTGTGCTAAATATTGAGCCTAGTCTAGAAATGATAAAGTACACAAAGGGTGTGTGTTATACTTGTCTGCCTTCAATGCGGCCTGTAGTAACAAAAAAACTCATAAGACTCAATGAAATGCCACTCTCAAGGTTTGAGCTGATACGCTTATTAAAATTAAATAAAAATACTTTGAAGAAAATCGGCCCCGAAAAAGGGCACCAATCAATGGGTCAATGGCAACAGGGCCACCAACAAAAGTGTCCCAGCAAAAGGGCTCCCTACAATGGGACCACAGACCTCGTGCATCATTTTGGGCCTCAAACCACTGAGGGACTGGAGGTTTTGAGAAGGAGTACAATTTGTGTACAGTGTACTTGGAAGTTATTTGCTAAAAATAAGTTGACTTTACTTTTAGATCGGCTTAATTCTTTGGATTTAAAATTGTTACGAAGAAATTACCACACCAAGTGGATAGGGTTTTGATGGTCTTGCTAATTTCTGTTAAGGTGTGAGTCCGTCCATGAAGAACATCACACTCCTGAGGGGGTGGGCGGAGATAAGGTGAAGAAAGTGAATGTAATAGTTGATGAGGGCTATTGATCATGAGTTCATGCTTTATTGATGGGGGCCCTTTGTCTGGGTGCCATCTTGACAAGAGCCCTTTTGTCAGGGTTGATTTGATGGGAGCCTTTTGTCCACGGCCGAATTGACGATGCATATCAAAGGTAAGATCCGTCCTATTCAATGAGACCAGGCAAAACGTTAAAATTGCACACACAAAAAAAAAAATACCAAAACAGAATTGAAATGAACTCTGTATTTTCTCCTTCAAGTTAGAAGATCTCATATTAACAGCAAAGCTAGGACTAGACCATATGATGAACACCAGCAGTAAACAAAAAAAAAAAAAAAACATTAAAAAAAAAAAACCAGACACCAATCAGTTGAATCAACATGGTTTATTTAACATTCAACAATCAATGACAAAATAACCTTTACTCAATCCTAACGTTCAAAGCAATGGTGTTGTGGGGGAGGGGGGGAGGAGAGGGGGAGAGATGGGAAAACATCAACTCTTGTTGATTACATGAAACTTAGTCTNGGGGGGGGGGGGGGGGGGTGTTTGTTTATTTAACATGGCGGCATGGAAACAATTCTTCAAAAGTGGCATTAAAAAAAGATAGGGCACCACCTCTTTTTTTTTGTTACAGATTTGACCCCAAAAAATGTCACGCTCATTAAGATTACATTAAAGTTTTTTTCATTGTTCCTCAAGCGGGCCCAGACAACGTGTTGAAAGTACAGCTACCTTTTGACCTTTTGAGACTCACAGGAGCAGGTGTTTCTCAAGCGGTCCTAGACAACCTGTTGAAAGTACAGCTACCTTTTGAGACTCACAGGAGCAGGTGTTTCTCAAGAGGGCCCAGAGAACATGTTGAAGGTACAGCTGCCTTTTGAGACTCAGTAGAACAGGTGTGGTACTCACAGAGTCCTCCTAGTCCAGCTGGGGGAAGTAGGACAAAGGAGAATATGTGGAGGACCATAATTATATGGCCAACCGAGGAAATGGCTGACCTGGAAATGAAGTAACAGCCCTGGATTGAAACTTTTGTTATTTAAAAAAGAGTTGAAACGTTCTCAAAATGACTTATATAAGTCAGGAATGCATTTCTCATTACATTAGTTTTGAAACTAAACAGCAAATAAAAGAATATGGACATTGGCAAGAGTGGTAGCCACCAACAAATGGAGATGAGTTGCCAAGACATCACTGCTCCCCAACATTTGAATCTTCATCCTTTACAAAGCCAACCTTTGATAGTAAAAACTAAAGAAAAAAACTACAGTGGTTATCCTGGGATTTGGGATAGGTCAAGTGAGGTTTTAGGCCAGTGATGGTTGGGGGTGGAGGCATGATAAAGGATGTCCTTGAAACAAACAGCTCAGGCGGGAATCATTGATGAGCTAAATAGGTCACTGCTTACATGAAATAATAATGAAGGATGAAACCAGCTCAACAACACAGAATTTGACCCAGATGTTTCCCCCACCCTCCCTCTCCAGATAATGAAACACAAAATAATGAAACATGTGTTATCAGTGTTATCAATCTCAATCATCAGCCATGGATGGGCATCTTCTAGTTGTGATGCACCCTTTATTTCAGCCATAGTTTACATCAGCCAATTTGATTCAGACATAGTTTGTTTCAGCTAAAGAGCACCTGAGCACTCCTTGCTTTCAATCCGGCCTCCACTATTAGTTTTGATATAAAAAACAAAAATAAAACTATTTTACCCTTGCCCTTCACGATGGTATCAAAATATTTGTTCACTATTTACAATCAAACACACATCAAGATCCCACGGTCCACATGAAAGTTTTCTCTTGTAATTAGTTTTTTATAGATTTGTTTTTTGTTGACTTTGTACCGCGCTTCGAGCCTTTGGGGATGGAGAGTGTTTTAGAGATAAACTTTATTATTATTTTTATTTCTCTATTCAACTTTCACCTTTGCTTTGCCATGAGAGACAACTGCGAATGTGAGAGTAGGGTCTTAAATTTATCTTTCTTTGTTGAAATTTTTAAAATACATTCTCTGCACAAATTCTATGTTCACCATCTATGTAGTCACAGCAATGACTTTTGTAGAATGTTTTTTTATTACTCAAATTGCATTAAATCAACTGGGAATACAGTTGATTCAAATTGTATAACAATTAGTAAATATCCATGTCCCTAATTTTATTCCTGGCCATGTTTTATACATTGTTTGGTTTTGTTTAACCCTTTACAGTCCAAACCTATTCAGCCTTGTCTACTCCCAGCGCCCAAGCAAAGGGACATAACTCCATTTTAAATGAAGGTTCTTTATCTAATTAATTTACAGAAAATAAACTAGAAGCAACAAAATTCCCTTTACAGTCCAAACCTATTCAGCCTTGTCTACTCCCAGCGCCCAAGCAAAGGGACATAACTCCATTTTAAATGAAGGTTCTTTATCTAATTAATTTACAGAAAATAAACTAGAAGCAACAAAATAAAATAAAAAATACCTAAATACAAAGAAATGATTAAAGCAAAAGTTAAACCTAAAAATAGTTTCAGAGACCCTCCCACTCATGAAATAGTGAAGCTTCATTAGGCCTAAGTTCTTTCAAAAGTGTATCCAAGGCTTAGATAGCCATTGTTTACAGCGAAAAAATCGCGACTTTTAAAAAAATCATAGAAAATCAGCCCCTAAACACACCGCGGTCAAACTAGTATCGAAATAAATGCAGACAACAAGGCTTTCTTCCGGTAGAACTATAAATAGTAATGCGCAATGGATTTCCGCTGTGCTAAGAACGAAAGTAAACAACCTCGAAACGGGCGGGTTTGGCCGCATCGGACTGTACGCTTAAGGAAAAAATCGGCGCATTTCGGGCGCATCGGACTGTAAAGGGTTATGCAATGGATTTCCGCTGTGCTAAGAACGAAAGTAAACAACCTCGAAACGGGCGGGTTTGGCCGCATCGGACTGTACGCTTAAGGAAAAAATCGGCGCATTTCGGGCGCATCGGACTGTAAAGGGTTAATAGGGGTGAGTGATGTGTTATCATTAGCACCTTGCATGATCACATATATGAGATGGACAGCTCCATTCAATGGATGGAGGCTCACAGAGGCAGTGAAATATGTTCTGTTTTTAGATTTCACTTCTGCGCTCCAAAGGAGAGTTATCATGTAACACATGATTACAGCGAGAATCCTACTAACTAGACTTGGCATCCTATGGCTCTTTACTTAACTCTTCCTTAAATAGTAAGCATATCCTGAAACATTCTCTGCCACAAATACTTTCAAGTTTTTTCAAAGATAAAATACTGCAAGAAGTAATTCATTATAATACAAAATGCCATTCAATAATATTACATATTGCTAATTTAGAACTAACTTCAGTAACTGTACAACGAAGCCTACAAAATTGGCCTTCAAAATAAGCTTTTATCTGCACACAACATCTCTTCTTATCAGCTGTGATATCCTAGGGATGAGTTGGCAAGTTGGTTAAGAAATCTTGAAGCTGAATTCATTAGCCAATGACATGGCGTGGTCCATGGCGTGTATGTTCACTAGATGCTTGCTCATCTGTTTTATCATTTCTCTAAAAGTCAGAAATAGAAGGAAAACAATGTGTGACCTCATTTCACACTTCAGGATCTGTAAATGTCTACTCACTAAATCAGTAAATTTCTACTCATTAAATCAGTAAATTTCTACTCACTAAATTTCTACTCACTATATCTGTAAATTTCTACTCACTAAATCAGTAAATTTCTACTCACTAAATCAGTAAATTTCTACTCACTATATCAGTAAATTTCTACTGAATAAATCAGTAAATTTCTACTCACTAAATCAGTAAATTTATACTGACTAAATCAGTAAATTTCTACTCACTAAATCAGTAAATTTCTACTCACTAAATCAGTAAATCTACTCACTAAATCAGTAAATTTCTACTCACTAAATAAGTAAATTTCTACTCACTGAATCAATAAAAAAGTATTTACTCACTAAATCATTTAATTACTTCTCACTAAATTAATATAAGACTCACAGCCTTCATATTAAAAAAAAATCATTACTATGTCCACAAGAATGACTTTTCAACACCTTAATGCCCTAATTTTATTAGCTGAAGTAAACATTAGCCACAACATTTCCAATATAATTTATTAACTGCAATTCTGTAGACATTCTGATTGATCTACATATGCTAGCCCACTGTTCCTGGTAGTGACTTTTCAAGGAACAGGAATTTCTTTAACATTGGGTTTTAATATATAACCAATCAAGTACAAGTTCCTTTGAAACTATCCAACAAATATCCCAATAATTATTTAAAATGTTTCAATTACCTCCCTTCCAATCTCTCACTGTCTTTTTCAAGAGCTGTTGCCTTGTGCAGTGTTTTAGCTGCTGAGACCAAGTAGCGGCAAAGATTCTCAAGTTGAGACAAGGTAGAGTCACCATCCAAATTGTTGAACCAATCCTTGGGAAATGTGGAGATGATCTATGGGGAAAAAAATAAAGGTGGGCACAAAATTAGCTCTGAAATAGCAACACAAAGTTCTGTTTTACGCATTACAATAATGGCGCACTGAACAATAAATAAAAATTTTCTATCTTTATAACTGAAGACTCATCAGATTTCAAGTGGACAAATGATTAAATGATAAAAGAAGGTCCTGTAAGTAAGTCATTCAACGAATAGTTGGGTAAAATAGTTTCAGCCATCAAATCATTGTTGGGGAGGTTAACATGAAAAACCCAAGTGAAAAACTGCTACTACCCAAGTTGATAGACATCACTCATAGTTCATTTGAAATAAAAATCATATATTGTAGCTAGCCTTCAAGAGCTTTTTGATACAAATAGGTGTAAAAAAATACTTCTGCTTATTACAAGAATTTTCATCCATAATAACACATTTTACCTACCAGATTCAATGAAAACTTCGTTCTAATTTGACTATTTAAATTCAAATTTAAAGATGTAGAAACGGTTCAGTTAAGATAAAATTATTATTTTAAAACTAAATGAACTTACAGCCTGGCATTTTTGTAGGGCTTCTCTGTTAATATGTGATGAGGCCAGGCCAATGACAATGTATCTGTTCAAGAGTCCTGACAACGCCAGCTTCTGAAGCACTGGGGCAGAGATGAGGCGGTGCCATGACAAAATATTACCCAGCAGCTGTAAATACAGGACATTTTCCCATGGCGTTAACTACACGTTACCAACAAGATGACGACAGTGTTTGAGTACGAACTAATCAAAGGCAGTGCATGTTAATGAACCAACAAAGTCAAAACATCGAGTGTTTAGCTATGACCGAACAAAGACTGTGTCTGTTCATGAATTAACAAGACATTAGCTGTGCTTAATTATGAACTGACAAAGAAAGTATTTATGAGCCAACATCAAAAATTAAAAAGATTTAGTAAACCCTAGATAAAATGCACTGCAGGGATTTAATACTGCTGGTTATGTATTTATCAATGATAACAAAACTATTCTTCAGCCGTGGTGTCCTTGCCAACAATTATATTATACATCAGCCTGACCTATGAAAATTGATAACTTTTGTTACCTTGATACATGTCCATGACTGACGGTGAAAGAATACAGCTGGACCAGACGACCTGTTATCTAAAATACTGCAAAGAGCCAAAAGGTGAAATTATGACAACACTTTCCTCTTTAATATGGATCATGATTGAAACTTTAACAGCTGTTCTTTACTTTATTACAGCTGAATATATCTTCTAGCAACAAAACTATCAGAGATTACATGCAACAAGCATTGAAGCAGAAAATAACTTCTATGTCATGACTTCATTTAGTTCATAAGTGTATAGTCTAAGTCTAAGCTTAAATTTTCTGATTTTTGCACACACACAAAATTAATTTCACAAATATTTAGGTGGAAGACAACAGCATACTTAAGGGGATACATAGGCATAAAAACATCATCATCAAGGGTTTTCCTCAATCTGGCCACAACAGCTTCAAGGTAAGCCTGTAATCAAAAGAGATCAGTCGCATATTAGTAAAACTATTGATGAATTCAGTTTCCTTGAGTGAACAATTTCTTATATTTACAACGCCACTGGCAAAACAACAAGAGCTCAGCTAATTAGGGAGTATACAAAAAATATGAAAAGACACGGATTTTTGTCTTACTCTGAAGTTTTTATTCTGAGCATGAACTGTAGGGTAGTCCCTTATGAGTTTCAGAGTTAAGTTGACCAAACGGGCAGTCTGGGTTGTGGACAATGGATCCCAGACATCTTGGACTAGAACTGATCAACAACAAAATATGCAAAAAAATTTTAAAAATTTAAAATAATAAAAAGTTTTTAAAATTTTAAGCTAACTTGTAATAAGTTCAAATTATATTATCTCCATCTTTTTTAACAGTTAAAATATTGAATGCAAAACCGAAGTAAAAAAAGAGAAATTTAAAGACCTACAAGTCATTTTGGGTATAATTAGTTTTTCTACGATGGATGGTAAAAGTCTGAGATCATCGTCTGACCTCTCCATTTCTTCCCCTTCTTTGAAACCCAGGAACACAAGGGAGTTGAACCACAAACTGTCTTCAAAGTCAACACAGTTCTCCTTCATGATAAAACAGGAATATCAGTTAAAGTTTTAATTTTCAATACAAATGTAATTTATTCTCAAGTTAATCAAGTTTACAAAACTAAAGACCTTCTCAAACCTGGGAGATGTGTTTTTAACTTAAAATTAGTCTTAGTCAATTCAGAGTATTAAGACTTTAAGAAGACTGCCAACATTTGTTTAAAAGTTCCAGTTCCATAACACTGAATAAGTACTAAAAAAAAAAGTTACCAATGAACAAAACAAAAAAACCAAGTGTCACTGATGGGCTTAAAATTTTTAAATAAGTATTTTTAACATTTGATTTAATTTTAGCTAAGTAAATGTACAGAAAAAAAAACCACTTACATCTAGGGGATTCCACAATAGTAGTTCTTTCCTGATGAACGGATTCATAAGCTTGGGTAGGCACAGCCCTATGTAAGCCTCTCTGTATGTGTCTCCATATGTGAACTTCCAGCTCTCAAACTGATCTTTAACATATTCAATATCAGAGAATTCTTCAACCACATCATCAAAAATGTTCTCTCTGGCCTTGGAAACTTCCTCTGGAAATAATTTTTAAAAAACAAAAAACATTAAGACCCCAATTTTGAAATATTGAACACAATCAGATATTCTTGGCGCGCACACAAGTTTTTGTAATTAAATTGTATAATAAATAAAGGACTGCATTCAAGCTAAGTAAATGAGATAGCAAAATGAGGCGTGTGGAAGCTTGAATTTAAGGACAGGACAATAACCTGAGGAAGGCTCTCTGCCAAAATGTTCTAATCTTACTGTCCTGTCCTTAAATTCAAGCTTCCACACGCCTCGTTTAGCTTTTTCAATTAAATCGTGCCCAAAATTTTGACCAATTGCGACTCCAAATATTACAAGGTGATCTTTAAAAAAAATCTGAGGGAAACTACTGCGATCAGACTACATCTTACCTATTTCAGATTTAAATTTCAACATGAGAGACTGGCTACTCTCCTCATCATCGGAGGAGAGGCCATCATGATGACCCACGATGTTCTTAGCCTCTCTGGCTCGCCGACGTCTGGCCCTATAGGAAACACATAAAAATGTATCATGTATATGACAATGACATACATATTTTTATGCTCATCACCCTATTATTTTATTATTTGTTAAGGTGTGATGAGTGAAAAGGGAAATTATTTGGCTGGCTCATGACAAAATCATCTAAAGGGCTCAGTAATGTTGATCGTTGGTATCTTGAGAGTGTGCTGTAACAAAGTCAAAGGCCATGCAGGAGTTTCTTGGTTCAATGGACGGCAGACACCAGGGCACAATGATAGAGGAACCAACAGAGAAAAATCATGTTCAACACCTGCCTACACTTTGTCTAGTTTAGCAACAGACCCTATTAATATTCTCTCGATGCAATAGATCCTATTGTTTGTCTTGTGAGGAGCTAGGTTTTCATTTACCTAGGAACCCTAAAATATTAGAGTTCCTTTTGAAGATGGAAATTTTTTTCTAAAGCCAGACCCCTTGAAGCCTATCCATAAACTCTGAGGGGTCGTCCATTAATTATGTTAACAAAATTTGGGGGGGTGTGAGTGGGGGGTGGGGGTGTGAGTGGGGGTGGGGGGTGTGAGTGGGGGGTGTGAGTGGGGGTGGGGTGTGAGTGGGGGGGTGTGTTTTGAAATTTTTGAGAGTTATTGGTGGGGAGGAGGGGGGGGGGTGTTTATATTAGTTTATGTCAACTATCATGTTTTCTCTATTAAAATTTGTATCTTAAAAATTGACTGGTTATTACATTATTTTTAAAAAAAGTTAATGAGTGTAAATTAAAATAGTTATATAATTTGTAGGCTTTTAACAATATAAGATTTATTTAATGTGTGTCTGTCTGTGCATTGCTGATGGTTGGTCAGAATGTTAGCACATTTTGTTAGTGCAAGAGAAGTCAAAAGTTGGCCTCTCTTCGCATGTAGATTCTATTCCTGGAAAATGACTAGGGCGGTATGTTTGCGGTCATGTTGCAGGTATGGAGCAAGGACAAGGTTCAAAAGTCATGTGCAGTCAAGATAAATGGTATTGATAGAGTAGTAAATATGATATTTTGAGAATTAGGGGAAAGTAAAGTGAGTAACAGTAATAACATCGCTGCTTGAACGGATTTGGAAAATCTGTAACATCTATTTTGCATCACAAGTCATGTTGAAATAGCAAGCTCAACAGCACCGACAATGCATCAGAAATTACCACCTGTTCCTCAACAAAAAAAGGATTCTACTAATGCAAGTAGCTGCCAGGAGACAGAGAGAGAGCTAATGGCAGTTATTGCTTACACTGACAATGCTTCTATTGTAAGTGCTGAATGGTTAGATGATGGATGATGTTGACTTGTCTGGTAATCAGTTCCGCATTATGAAAATAATAAATCAGCTACTATGCCCATTGTTACGATAGAGCAACACCTGACTACTCCATGGGAAGATGATAACAGCTAGAAACTATGCTACAATTGTGAGCTACACTGACAAAAATCATATTTATACTTCCTCAAACAATGATAATTAGTCTTTAATAACCTTTTCATCGATTCTGTATTATAAAATTTAAGTGTAAAAACTTTTTAACTTGTTGTTTAACAAGCTAAAGATGCAATAAAGTGTTACTCCTACAATTTTGTGCTATTAAAATAGATCAGCGCAAAGTAAAATATGTTTATAGATTTATGTATATAATAATTCATTGGGGGGTGAGGGGTGTTGTTGTTATAAAAATGTTGACATAATTAGATAGGGGGTCACTGAAAGTTTGACAGTTGTTGACGGGGGGGAGGGGGGGGGGGCAAAAATTGCTTAAAAACTGATGATGTAATTAATTGACGCCCCTTAAGGTTTGGTCAATCCAAAGTCAAAGAACTCTTCAAAAAATGTACCTCCTAGCTTCTCTTTCTGCTGCTCTCCTTTGTCTGACCTGCTCTTCCTTTGCCTCTACATCCAGCTTAACCATGGCTGTGTCTGGAAGAAAAAAAAAGTTTTAAAAAATTACTCTAAGTCAACTTAACTATTTTAAAAGAACTTCATTTATATGTGAATTAGTTCAGCTTCCGGTAACAATTTTTTGTTAAAAATATTTTATCTATAACTTAAGGCCAATTTGAGATTGCAGGTATAAAATAGGGAGAATTACATTTTCAAGTAATTAAACATGAACTATAAAAGTAAGAGGCTTTCCTACCTACCTGTTAAGAAATATGTTTTAGTTCATTTACACAATAAGTGTTCTACCCGGTACTTACCATCATATAAATAACTTAAATAGAAAAATATTTTTTAAAGCTTTTCTATCGATAACTTAAAATTAATGCATAAATAATTAGAATGCTTGTACTTTTCCCCCCTGATCTACTTTCTCCCAAGCTACAAGCCGGAAGTCAAAAGAAAAAGAGTATAAATACCGACTTGTCATGTATTCTCGACATTGATCCTGAACATCAAGCTGCCTGCGTTTGATGAGGCGCTCAGCTCGTGATTTGAGTAAATTGTTGACACGCTGTTCAAGCTCGTTTATGGCAGGAACCTGGTGGCAAGAAGAAAATCATAATCTTAGTTTATGTCATTCATGGCTGACTCTCTTCACTGGGGAGGCTCAAGCATGTGTACACAAAATGTACATATGAAAGGAAAAAGTTGTCTTTGCTTTACTTTGTAGGCGTCTATGGATTTTTAGAAGTTACTTATGGGTGAATGTTATTTTTTTTCACCCAGTAAAAAAGTTTAAGAAAATAGTTGTGAATTGTAAGAAATCTTTGTTACACAAAAACTTTGTTGTACCTACAATGTCCATTTATACTGCAATTTAAAGATGATATGCAAACATTACTAGAAAGAAAAAAAAACAAAGGCAGAAAGATATTTTCCATGAAGACAAAACTAATGATGTCTTGTAAAGATAAAACAAGACATAAGATGAATTATTTTTAAGGGATTGTATCAATTTTTTAAATTTCTAGAGATGGGAGGAAAATCAAGTGCTTTATCACCACATGGAAGAGTCAAGAGTTTAAGATTTTTAAAAATTTAGGACAGTAGATTTTAATTTTATAAAATGAAAGCCACTCATTACACTTATACCAGCAGTATTGCATAAAGATATAGAATGAATTTTCTGAAGATGTTTCCTTTTCATGACCCACGGGCGCTGATTCATTGCAGCTCCCCATGCGCACTAACTTATTGCAGCACCCATGTGCACTAACTCATTGCAGCCCAAAATTGCTTTCCATATATACAGTTAAAGTTAATTTTACCACTCCAGTGTTAAATGTTTTGCAAGAATGACCACTATCAATTTGTATCACCTCAAAAACAGCATGGCCCTTAATCTGGCATGGCCAGCTTCAAATATGTATAAAGCAGAACCTAAACCAGAAGGGATGTCCCTCCAAACTTGGGATGACTGACTTTTATCCTCCCCTCAAGTCTCTCCTGTCTTTGTTTGGACACATAAAGAAGTTGTAATTGATTTTTTTATTTTTTTTTTATTTGAAAGGTTTGAACCATTCCATAGCATTTTTTTTTTAGCCTGGCTGCTAAAATGTAGTTCAGGGTTTATACTGGAATTACAGTAGAAAAAAAGGTTGAGGATAATTATTACATAAATTAAATCCTTGGTTTTTTTTAATTGAAGAATTCACAATAGAAGAAATTGCATGCACAAATACAAGTAAGAGTGGTAGTTGAACACTTGAAGTAAACTAATGTATAGACTGTCATTGACTGAATTCAACCCTAGATGGTAAAGTGACAAAATTAGGGCTAGGACAATTTTGCTAATTTAATTTGTAATGTACAACTGTTTAAAAGGAATGATGGACATTGTTGTAATGACTTTAAAGAATTATTACAAAAACATAAAGGTGAATGAAAATAAAATTGCTTTCACTGGGATTTGAAACTCATCTAAAAAAAAAATATTAAAAAATAGTAAGATGATCAGAAAGGGAAACCATTAGTTAGAAACATTACCCTTGTAGACAATGAACAACTAAATGTTTATTTGATAATAATATGGTTAGGTGCCTATATATAATATTTTGACACAGTAACAATGTGGCCAGAAAAATGGGGACAAAACTTTGTTTAATTTAATCCTGACACTTACATGATCTACGGTTGCATAAGCTGTGAATAATAAAACCAGTACAAACCCTGATCTATTATGGCAATCTCTCCCCCACGGTGAAAAAAAAAATAATAGAGAGATGTCAACTACACAAGTCAATGAGGCAAACAACAAATATGGGGGGACATACCTTCTCATTTAGGCATTCTACCAAGTCCCGAACATACCCCCTCAATTCCTGGAAAAACTGAAACCGTTTCTCCAAGTCTGGAGCTTTTTGCTCACAAGCCTCAATGCTTTCTTTAGCATCCTGAATCTCGAAAATGGTTTTGTCCAATTCTAATTTGTGGTTTCTGTAAACCATATCCATTGTGTTGAGGCTGAAAGGGAAGAATTCAGGCATTAATTTTTGTTCAGTTTTTTTTAAAAATATTCCTTTGATTTAGAATTATTTGATGTAGGTTAGAAGTAAGAAAAATTTGACACGTTTCAACTATACAATATTTATGAAACAGAAACAACCAACAGGAAGTCACAGTGTCATATACAATTTAGAAGAAGGAGTTAATTTAGGTTATTTTTCACTTTGAAAACACTGCTATTTGTCATTGAAACTATTAACTTTTTAAAAAATGTATTGTCACTACCTGTTTCCGAAAATTGAATTAAATACAGTGGAAAACTTGTAGATTTTAAGAACTAGAATGCAAAGAAGCAAAAAACGGGTGTATTTAAAAGTTTCTAAAAACAATTCTAAAACAAAGAATTTGTTGCAATTAAAAGTATTTCTGTTGACAGCTAAATCTAAGAAATAAAATGAAACACACATATTAATATTATTTAATTTTCTGAAACATTTTTTGTGTAACGGGTCAAGATGCCTCTCGTCTTCCGCTGAGAGCTTGGTAAAGCAAAGGTCTTACCGTTCTTCCAAACGCTTTCTAACAGATTCTATAGTAATATCAGAGATGTTCTGAGACTTGGCTAGAGCTGACAATGGCTTGAGATCAGATTCTGCTTTTTGGTTAGGGGCTGTTGACTGTGAAGAAGAGGAGTAAAAAGAAACCCCAGATGGCACCGGCCCATCATTTGAATTGCTGGATGAGGGCATCTCTACACCTGGTATCTGTAAATCAAATAGATTATATATTTTGTTTACATTAATAACAAGTTCTACACCTAGTTTATATAAATCAAATAGATAGTAGGTCTACTTTTGTTTATTAACTCTTTCCGTGCCAAGCCACGATACATCGTTGATTTGACTGGTCACGTTTGTGCCAAGCCACGATACATTCTCGAAATAATTAATGTATTTTTACTTCATTGTCTGCAGCTATTAATCCAACTTTTTATATTCTTAAATGAAGGATAACTCTTCCTACTTCCTTCCTGTTAGAAGTAGGGCTTGTTTACATGTGTTTTTTCTAATAATAGTTCAATTTGGGTTGAAACTTTTGTAAAAAAAAAGCAATGGCCACGCCTATTCCAAGCACATCAGCTGCTGCTAGACCACGTAGGTAGTCAATTTTGCAAACAAAAGAACTTTAATTGCTAATTATTGATGCTGAAACATCAGACGATAACCATGAATCATTTGAATCTGATTCCAGTGATGATTTTCAGCATTCTGATGGGTCGGTAAATGCCAAATGGAAATAGTAATAGAATAGCTATAGTAATAGGTGTGACGGTGTATAGCGCCTAGAGAATGGATTACAAAAACACCAAGATCAACATTTTAGCTCAAGGTGTTCAAAAGTTATGATTTTTTTTCAAAATTACTTTGTTACTATGGGAACAGTGAGGATTCAGATAATACTACTCCTAATGTTACAAAAATGGGTATAACTCGGTCACTAAATGGAATATTTTCAAAATGTAAAATGCATTATGATAAAAAATGAAATGCATTCTGAGGATTGGACCAGAATAGGATACCAGCTACACAGACCATTTGGTAGTCTGGTAAATTCAGATTTGGTACCCATTTTTAAAAAAATGTGATCTCACAATATTACCAGAAAAGTTAAACTATTGTTGTCATATTGTTTTATCTGTTACATATTATTATTCTCTGTCTAATTTCCTTTAATTTGATATAAAATACAGCTATCTTGCTAAAAGAAATTAATTCAAAATTAATTAATAGATATGAGCACCCCAAAAAATTTCCATTGGCCAAAAACTGGTCTGGCACGAGCGTGGAAAACCCCCTGGCATGGAAAGAGTTAAAAAACACAATTTAAAAAAAATTATTTTTAACTAAAAATTTTTAGCCTTAATAAGAGCATGTCAAAGCATTTCCACTTTTTTGGACACTTAGAAAACTGGATAAGTGTTAGGATAGTTCATGATTTAATCCTAAATCCAAGTGTTAATGAAACACTTTAAAACTAAGAAGGTGACTACGAAGCTCACCTGAAGACTAACAGCTTTTCTAATTTGCTGATTTTCCCATTCCCGTTCTTGGTCACTATCTTCATCACTTCCTGCAGAGAAATAAAATATGTTTATTTTAAGGGCCAGCTCTATGGTGTAGGTCAGGAGTCTGCAACCTTTTATAGGTGAAGAGCCATTTTATAAATTATGCCTGCCAAGGAAATATTTACGGAGCCACAGCAGGGATGGGTTGAATAATGAAAATAGACTTATTTATTAATTCAAAGCATGCAGCTTTCGAGCTGTTGAATGCAGACGACTGATGCAAGGTTTAAATTATTACATAGATAATAGATACAATTTTATTTTTCTGTCTACTCATTGGTAGATAGAGAGTTAAACACTATTCGGCAGGTTTGCATTATTACAAAGATAGTATATAAAATAGACAGAGAGTTAAATACTATGTGGCAGGTTTAAATTATTACAACGATAATAGATAAAATTTTATAATTTATTTCTACTCATTGGTAAGACAGAGAGTTAATACTATTTGGCAGCTGACAGAAATCAAGACATCTTTTATTGTATTTTGTATCACTGATAATGATTGCTACAAAAGAAAAGACCAATAGCATTATAAAAAGATTTTTTTAGTGTTAAAATTGTGTACCATGTTCAGCTGCAAGGAAGTCATCCCTCATTTGCTGTCTTTCTCTAGCTGCCTTATCCACAGCAAAGTCAACTCTCTCATCCTCTTCATCATCACTTTTGTCATTATCATCATCCCTGCAATTTCATAATTTTAAAGGAAATAATAGCATTGTCATAGCCGTGTATTAATATTATCATTAACGACTATGATAATTTATAAATATTTTTTATAGGTTATCTTTGGACTGTCCAAATTTCAGGATAACTTTTACAGAGGTTGTCCTTAAATGTTCGTAAACATTCTACCGAGACCCCCCCCCCCAAATGCTAAATCTCATAAATCAACAACACCCTCTCCTCAGAGCATGCATGTAAGACTGCCCTTATCTTGTTAGTGGCAGGGCTGTCACTCAGTTTTTTCTAATTTCCCAAGAAAAAATCACAGAGGGGGGGGGGGGGGGGGGGGAGAGAGAGAAATAATGCAAAATATAAAAACACAGTAGAGTTAGACTATAAAACCTAACCATCACATACTCTTCTAAAATTATCAGCAAAATGTGTGTAGAAGTGCATATTTCTATTAGTTTCAAATTATCATCCAATGCCATCCTATCTTTTTTTTTTCATTGACAATTTTGAAACTATTAGACTCTAATTGTAAGACTAACAGTAACAGGGCATGCCATTTTACAAACTACAAGAAATTGATTAACTTGAATTGAAAGTTGAAAGGTATCAGGTATGTTATGACAAGTTATGTCCCGCAATAAACTCACTCTTTGCTCTTTAAATTTTAAAAGACACACACAAACTATTAACAGCTCATATTTCTTAGTTACGATTAAGTTATGAATAAGTTTACAAGTTTCTGAGCCCGTTAAAATTTTATATTTATTTATGAACCCAACCTAATATAAGTAAAACTTACTCTCAAGAAGATATCCAAGTTTTGTAAATGATAATGAAAATCTTGATGAAAATGCTGGTAGCATCTCATTTGCGATTTTAAAAAGTGGTGTTTTACTAGAAAATTAGTTATAAATTACAAATATGCCCTACTTAGCTACTAATTCTACAACTGTAACTTATACTTATTATATGATTTTATTATATTTATGTGTGTACGGTACGTAACTAGTTAAACTACATGACATAGCTGGCATTTGCCGTAGTCTCACCAGCAGTCTCACAGAGTATCTATCCAGAGGCGTAGCGAGGGGTGGCAGGGGGGAAGATGTCCCCGGGCGCCAGCTAGTTAGGGGAGCCGAAATGTGCTTTGATATTATTTTTTTGATGAAAATAATGGGTTTGAGAGTTGAAAAAAAAGAAAAAGGGGCGCTTTAAAATGGATCTTGTCCCCGGGCGCGAATCTTGTCCCCGGGCGCCAAACACCCTCGCTACGCCTCTGTATCTATCACTGTCTTTATTAACTTTTAGACTACACTGGTCATAGTCTCAAACTAACTCTACTTCTAACTATTACTATTACGGCATTTACGGCACGGTCCACGCTAACAACACTAACACTGTTAAATAACAGTTAACACTGTTAAATAACAGTAACAGTATCAGTAACAGTCTCAATTCTGTTCTCACTTACTCGGAAATAAAAATAGGCCTACATCACTTCATGTGCATCATTTTATTTCATAGGATTTACATTCAATTGAAGGGTTAGCATAATCAAATTAAAATAATACACTATAAATAATTTTAATGCTTCTTTTGTACAATGACGATGGGCATGGGTTTCAATCGATTACAAAATACCAATATCAATAGGCTTGAATAAGAAAACTCAAAGCTATTTTTAGCATAAACTATTTTTAAACAAAATACAACCGAGCATGCGCCAAGAAAAATAATAGCCAATGAAATTGTTTGGTTTTCTAAAGTAGGTCATCTAGAAACTACCACAAGTTTCTTGTTTACATTCGAGGCAAGGCGCTGGTTCTCGACCGTTCTACATTTCTATTGCTGCTAGTATAAATTTAGTTGAAACGGCAAGCAATGTCAGAAATTCACTAAGTGAAAGTGCTAACACGACAAAGTAGGCTACTTAGACAGTTCAAACTACAGCGTGAAATACTACTACAAGTGCAGTTAAATTACAACTATTACAAGTAAAGACTCAACAAGAGTACGACATAGTATTTGATTATTTGGTTGATTCCATTCAAATTTAAGATTTTAAATATCGCTTGCAAGAATCATACCTAACTATTTATTATAAGGTAAGTTAATTTTTCTGTCCCGTTGTAAATATTGTGTCTGATATGTGTACTATATTACTTGGGAGAAATTGACTTTATCTGGGGAGAAACTGACTTTATAATTGGCCCACGACAATTTTATTTATTCTTCAACTTC